ATTAACTAAATAATTTGGTTCTGTACCTTTCTCTTCAGCACAGCTGACAAAGGTTTAAGATGGGTCAGTCCTCCTGCATGCTCAGATCATTCCCTTCCCTTGCTTGAAAAATTGTTCCAAAATGAAAGTTGAACCCACATCTTTTTTATCTGTGAATTCAATGCCGTTCAGCGGGTCTCAAATAAAAAATTGGGCATCTTACTGTAAAAAAAAATACCAATAATGTAAAAAAGAAACTCTAAATAAACTATGTTCACATCCAGAATCGAGCCCGGGTCTCCTGCACATTAGTCCGCCGTCTTACTAGGTGAGCTACAACACCAGTGACGTCTTTTGTATCTGTAACATTTATATCCTTGATGACAGCTGAAACAACGTTCAAAGACCGGTTCGGAGCGAAAATGGCTATTTTGTTGCTAATTTGCAGGAAATATCTAGAAGAAAGTTCTACAGAAAGTAGCTAAGGGTCCTCAGAAATGTAGCTAGGTTTGTCACTAGGCGTTAGGAACAGCGACAAAGTGGCACTGCCTCTCTCTCTGCTGCTAAAGCTACGGATAGCAAATGCTACGGGCGATGCCTGAGCGGGAACGCGCATGAAGCATCCTGCTTGACCCGAGCATCTCTCTTTTTCTGTGATTTTACAGAAAAACAGGCAATCACAGTAAAAATGCCAGGGCTCATTCTACAGGACCAGGACATTGCAGGAGAATGTATGAAGAAGACATTTATTATTTCTATACATGTTTTGGCTGTCACACTTCCATAATGCCCCTTTAAAGTCAGACACCTAAATAAAGTTAATTTAGAGCATTTATTAGATGTTATTAGTAAACATAAAAACACATCTAAATAAAATTCTGCAACAACACTGGGCTGCCTGAGGTTTTGCCTGACTTTAAATCAGCTTTACTAAGGACAAATATCTGCTGATGTACAAGAAACTGTAAATGTTCGCCCAGAGGCATCGGCCGACCGATATTTCGGTCTACCCCAGTGCAAATGCGAAACCCTGCAGCACCACATCATATCTCCAACAGCTCTGCTCTGAGGGATGCTAGATATTTTCTTTAACAATTCACCACAATTTCAGAATCGGTAGACATGTTGCGATCGGATGATCTTTTTTCCTACAGAAACCCTGTATTGCAGAAAACTACAACTAGATGTCACACTGATGTTTTTATTTTCTAATAGTCTTGACCTCTTTTATTCTAACACGAGGCGATGCGTGCGTGAATCAGCGGATGATCTAAGATAAGGGGTTTTAGTGCAGCTACAGCAGCAGTGATGGTGATCATTTAGAGCTCTACAAACAGCGTCTCACGTAGAGCTGTCTCACACCACGAGACAATCTAACAAGGTCATTTTTCAGCTCCTCTGTTCAGACTCATTCCTGTTTGTGGGGACTGACAAAATGGATCTAAAATCAGCCCCATTATCCTTGGATGGATGCCAGGTCTGTGTCACTGCAATGTGACCCTTGTGCCATCCTCATATTAGCCCCCTCTGTGTCATCTCCATCACGTGAGCCTAATGGATGGATGAGCTGTGCACAGTGTCAGGCTCATAAATCAGGTACTGTGGTAAAATGGTTCCTACTGTTTGGTAATGATGACATTTGGAGACATTTTCCACCAAGAGATGTTTGATTCATTGAATCGGTAAAAGGCAGACATGGAGACTTTCTAGATGGCATTTTTTTGTTCCGTTATGAAACACCGATTTAATCCCATGTTGGTTTGATATTTTAACCACAGTTGTTTGCTTCTTTATAGGAGAAGGCTTTTTGTTGGACCAGGTATGTGTTTAGTTTCAGTGTTGTGTTGACCAAAGGCCAGGGCCATGTAAATGGTAGTCTGCCCACTGCTGTCCAGGTTGGTCTTGCTACAATTTTTCATGCAGAGTACATCAGATTTCACAGTTCACTATAAATGCAGTACAGTCTGCAGCACATTGCGAAGTACACGTCACATTTTAGCAAATACCGCTAAGCAGACAGCATGGATGTCTGGTGGGGAGAGGTGCATCAGTCATTTGATGCATGCTGATGATCTAATGTTTCTTTTTTTACCTTATAGTGCCGGTTTATTAGCCTAGAAATCAGGAGCACATTAGTAGCAAAAGATTTAGATGGCATCAGCTCAAGGACGGCACTCGTTTGAAACTAATCTGGCATCAAGTCTGGACAATGGAGACTTCTTCTGTGTTTGGAGGACTGCCCCATTGGCTGATTTATGTAGTTATGAATATGTCACGTCTTTCATTGCTTTGATTCGTCCTTGTGCAGTCCAGTTGTGTGCAGAGACAGTTTGAAGGATAACCATAGGTCCACCCCACCCCCACCCCCACCCCGACTGAGCTCTGTCTATGGGTCATGGCCAGACTAAATATTTACATCTATGGGATGGCTTGCCAGGCTACCGGTTTACAGCAGTTGCTTAGGATGGGTTCTTGTTATGGAGTACAATCTGACAATAAGTTTAATCCTAAGAAGAGTGATGTCATTACTATAAGGATTAGAGGAAAACGTTTCATCATTCCTTATCCGGCAGAAAACGACTGGAGGTGAGCTATTTAGGTCAGATCATCAGTTGTGATCTTTGTGATGATAATGATTTAGCTTTTATTAGGGCTGGGCGATATGGCCTAAAATTAACATCACATTATATTTAGGATTTCACCTCGATAACGATAAATGGACTATAACTACAGGTATGCGCAGAAACAAAAGTTGTCCACTAGATGGGGCTGTCACATGTATTAGTTGAGTTACGTTTTTACGTGACTCAAGGTGGTTCAGCTTCTTAAAGGGACATGAATGTTGCCGACCTACACACATCTTTTCAGTTTTTTATTATCCAATTTATTGACATGGGAACATTCTCGATAAGAGTCAGAAGTTTCGATAACGATAAATTTTCGACTTATAGCCCAGGCCTACTTTTTATGTTTGTGACCATTAATGCAATCAATGTTTTACATTTAACTGAGAAATCACCTTTTTTAAAATTAACATGTAGATTATAGGTGATGCAAAATGCTATTAATAAACTTCTAAGTGGCATTTACTACCTATTCCACCCTCACTGCATGTATTCAAGAGTCGCTTGAAGACTCATTTATATCGTTTGGCTTTCATGTGACTTGGTTTCATGTCTCTTATCCTTCATATATATATATGTATATATATATGTATATATATATATATACATATATATATATATTTGTATGTGGTTTTTGGGGCTTTTTAATCACTCTGTTTTTATTTGAATCTTTTACGCTCAGTGCCTTGGGCTTCCGCAGAGGCAGTGGAAGGTGCTCTATGAACAAAGTTTGATTGATTGATTGGTTGATATTACACTATTGGAGCAATTAAATAAAATGTCTGTGTTTTAGTGTTGGAGTGAGTTTTATTATAATCATTATTAATTAAATGTTCATATTTTTTCTTACTGTTGTGTTTTTGTGTTTAGATATGGGTCCTTTTGATGTCTGGTATATGATGATATTATGTTGCCTTTAAAACATTGTTCTAGAGTAGAGCTGCAGAAATACATATTATTGCGTGCAGTGTGAGCTTCCCATAGATGGGACACCCTTGCTTTATTAATGTTGAGAGTGCAATGTAATGAAATGTTTGATATAATGTGCAGCCCTACTGGATAGCAATAAATGATGACTCAGTTTATTACCATATAAATGATAAATATATTAATTGGCCAATGGGGACATTGGGATTTCTCTGCCATTGAAACATGCACTCTGCAGTTCATCGAAAAGAAAATGATTATGGTTCGGCATTAGAGCTGCTTTCATCTAGATGTCTGGGAGGGGAAGATTTGCTGAACACATCAGTCCTTCCTCATCAAATCATTAACATCGAACTCAACAGGCCATCTGGTGACCTTTAGGGTCGTCTAGATTAGACGTGGCTGTTCTGGGAAAGTCAACGGGATGGAAACGTTACAGCTCAGCTGGATGTCAACATGGCATCAATGGGGTCAGAAAATGGGAGTTGTTTTAGACATTTGGGTACTTTGAATAGTTGCACTTGCAAAGATGAATAGGCTGGTGATGCTATGTTAACACATCATTGTATTAATGTTTTTCACACCACTGGTAAGTAAAGGTGAAGGAAATCAATTATTTATTCAGGCTCAAATACATGCTTAGTCAGAGGAAGTCAAAGTGGTTAACTGTCTAGTAGTTATTGTCACTTGATCTCCTGTGTTTAAAGATTCTGCCCTTTATTTACCACTTTCTCTAATTCTCCCAGTTTCCCACACGTCTCATCCTAATGGGTCCTTTTCTGTCCTGCACCAAGTCATAATGCTTTCACACCGAGATAGGCTGATAGCTGAGGGCAGCTGTCAGATATGCATTTATTCATTTATTTTTGTTGGGTCACAAGTCATTGATTGGAAACATGACAGTCCCCTTTGGCTGAGTAATTTTGATATCGGCTCTGTTGTTGCCCTTATTCTTTCTATTAGTCAGGATTCGATAATAAAAATGTAGCTCAAGCTGTTAAGAAGAAACAAATGATTGCATTTGAGGCTTTTATTATCAGATTTGTCACATTAAGGGTCATACCATGTCATCCCAGCAGACGCTTTATGTAATCTTTTGAATACTGTAACTTTAAATGAAACTCAGCCCTGGGTTGTGTCTGACAGGCAGCGTCAAATGTTGTTAGTATTCCAAAGCCACCTGCAGGAACAACAGACCTCTAAATTCTCTTCCAAGTGTTTGTGTCTTAGTTGGTCTCTCTGGTGTGACGCTTTTTGTTTGGGGCTTTTGTTTATCACAGATAAAGATGATCTCTATAGATTACAGTCAGCTGTCAGACAGACTAAAAGACACAGACCTGAGTTTCTTCCGTGACCTTTAAAGTAGAGGAGAGTTCACATGCAACATTTCCATCGTAGCAGTTTTGATGGAATTAAGAAACGAAGTGTACTCTTCACTTCTATCTAACCAAACGTCTCTTGTATCTCCAGCTAGTTGGTGGCCAGTTTGACCTTGAGATGAACTTCATCATCCAGGAACCAGAAAGCATTGTGTGCATGATGGAGCTGCTGGAGAAGTGTGAGCCAAACTGCCAGGCTGAGATTTGGAGCATCTTCACGGCCATCCTGAAGAAAAGTGTCCGTAACCTTCAGGCGTGCACCGATGTGGGTCTGATCCAGCAGGTGCTCCAGCGAATAGCAACAGCGGACAGCATGATTGCAGGTATGAGGAACAGTCTCCTTTGGGAAAAATGGTTTTCCCCAATTTTTTTCCACGGCAGGATAATTATGCAGATTCACCCTTACTGACAATCTTAAGGATGCACCTGGTTACTGTAATGTTCTAAAGATAATCAGATATTCCTGCAGTGTGTGGTGTTTTAAGACTGCTCTGGTCTGATCTGTAGCATGCTCTGATCACACATCAGGGATAGTCAACATGTTGGATTGTTGTGGGCTGATCTCAAGGACAAACGGCCATGCTACCTGTTGAAAGTGACTTATAGCCAATCAGAAAGCAGGGTGACAGAAGTTAACTTCTCAGCAAGTGGCATCTTCCACTTCCACCATCTTTGTTTTCTTGAAAGTCATGTTTGATCTTGAGGTTTTGAAAGATTTACAGTTGGCATCTGCAAAGAGAGTAAAAGAAAACCCTGAAAATGCCCAACTTTCTCTGACACTGTGGGCATAAGAATGGGTTTTTTGTCAAACAAGATAAAGGAAAATATATAATTCACAATCAGATTCTGATGAGGTGAAGACAGCAAAAATGCTGCTTTTTGACGGCATTTATACACAAGTGGACGGCTGTATACTGTATAAAGGTTCAGTACAGATGGGTTCAGATTAGGGTTGTCACGGTGTGAAAATTTAACCTCACGGTTATTGTGACCAAAATTACCACGGTTTTCGGTATTATCGCGGTATTTTTTTTAAACGTGCTACATTTTCACACAACTAAACAAACCCTGTATGTCAGGAAATATTGTCCTCAGTTTGTGTCTAAATTTTGCCTAAAATGTGTTATTTTGTAATTATGTTGTTTATTTGTTTACATATTTCCCCTTTAGTCTTTAAAATACCAATATTTGCCCATAACTTCTTATTTTATGTCTGTTTGATGTCATCATTTTAAAAATATTAGACCAGATGATACTCAGTACTCAAGTAGCCTTCTAATCAGATACTTTTTTACCCTTACTTGAGTAATAAACCCTATAACAGGAAAATATTGTCCTCTGTTTGTGTCCTTCCAGTGAGCTTTGCAGATGTGGGAAAATGTCATCAGGCAGTAATCGTTGTTAAATTCATAATTATTCTCGGAGAGAGACCAACTCTTATCTGCCCCTGGGAGCCCCGTAATGCATAGCGTCATTTCAACATGGCGGTGTCCGCGACACGGTTTATATGCAGGTAGCGGCGCTGCGGCTGCTTTATATAGCAACTCGTTGCATTCTCCCTCAACCCAAATCCTCGGATCACGCATTTTAGCTAAAACGCTAACGTTAGCTTGCCTTGCGTTGACTGTAGAGTTGTGGGTGATGGTCACGCAGATGTGTCATGAGATTTGAAGCGTTGCTGCCTTTCACAGACACTTTTTCTGCACGTGCTGCAAACAGGATAGCCGTCTTCTATCAGCTGTCCCTCGGCGTTCTTCAAATATCTAAAAGATGCCCGTACTTCCCACTTTGTCTTCTTTGAGGGATAATAAATGTCCTGAGCGCTGCCGTCTCCTTCTTTGGCCATTATTTCAGCTTTAGCTTCAAGAAAGTTTTGGTTGTAAACAACAAAGTGCGCATGTGCCGCCGGCAACTTCAGCAGATGATACGGTGGCTGGTAAGGGTCACCGCGCCTACACCGCAGCCACGGTAACCCACCGAGATAATATTGTTTTTTTTTTTAAAAACAAGACGGTTATTATTGTCGTCAACTTTTTTACCGGGGTTTACCGCTACACCGGTTACCGTGACAACCCTAGTTCAGATACAGCAACTAGAATATGTTTCTACCAGATTAAAAATGAGATAAAAAGCATCAAGTAAGGACCATGAAATAGATGTACAAAATCCATAAGAAGAGCACATTAAAAAAATAATTAAACCAAATTTAAACTACTGAGTCATATGTTCCCCCAAAGCCACCCAGATGTTCCATAAAATGCACACAGTGACAGATGGGTACCACTGCAACACGGTGTAGCTAAAAAAATGTTGGTAAAGGTTAAGGTCCATCACTTAAAACCCATCTACGCACGCACGCACGCACACACGCACGCACGCACACACACACACACACACAGTCAATAATTCCCTACCTTCTCATAGAGGTGTGTCTTTGCCTCTAATCGCTGCGTGAACAACGGAGGACCATATTTGTGGACTTTTAAAAATTGATTTCATATTTTGCTGCATGTGACCAACTTAGTGGATTTCCCAGTTTGACATTGACTGTTTTTGCTAATTGCGTCTCTGTTCTCCTGGACATTCTCCGTCTCATCTTGGTTGCACGTCTGCGCGTTGGCCTGAAACGATTGTCGGCTCAGTGAACTTATTCTGGCTGGAACAGCACAGGCCTCGAGTGTTTGTGCAGTCAAGCTAGGCTGATGCAAACGTGAAGTTACTGAGAAATGTTCTTTATTTGTTGGTTGGATTTGTTTAAATATAAATGTGACACTGCTGAAAAAAATAGAGGTAAAAAAAATTTAAACAATAAATATCAATAAAATTATGTCTAAAGGACATTTGACTTTTTTTTGCCTTTGTAAAAAACAACCACTTATTCAGTAAAGCATCAGATTTTTGCAGCTGTAACGTTTTTCCCTTTTGATGGTGAAAATAAAAGGAGAGTGATGCTTGTTTAAGCAGCTATTTGGATTTAAGAAAAACCTAAAGCATAAGCATGTGATGGTCTCCTATAGATCTAAAACCTTTGTGCTAGACTTGTGTCCTCCCTTGTTTTGCAGACCTGCTGGTGGACATGTTGGGCGTGCTCGCCAGCTACAGCATCACTGTGAAGGAGCTCAAGGTTTTTTTCAGCAAGTTGCAGGGGGAGAAAGGCCAGTGGGTGAGTCCGTATCGGTTTCTTAGCAACATGCTCATAACACTTCAACTGCTGCCATCCCACAGGCTGAACTAGAGTCAGATTTTCACAGATATTAAATCCTGAGAAACTATTCGGACTTTGGTCAGCATCACTTGCATCACTGACTTTAAAAATGTATTTTTTAGGATTTTCAACTTTACTCCCTAAACCTGTTATTCGCCATAATAGTTTTGTTGCCAATTATTTTAAAGGTGTCTTACAGTTTAAACCCATATTTACCTTCTTGTTGAATATAGGCAGCTTAGGGTGTCTTAAGTAGCATATCAAAAAGTCTGGGTGTAGTCTGTCATTGCTGCAGCGCCGCTCTCTCCATCCGCCATGCAACGCCTCCTTTCGACACTTTTCAAAAGCAAATGTGGTTGAAGTAAGACTCTGCTATGGGGGCTAGTTGCTCTTTAGGTTTTAACCACCTTACATTTGCATGTCCCAATCCACTTCAGCATCGGCGTAATGTTCGTGGCCGTAATGCTTATCAGTCTAACGCTAGTCTGAGCTACTGCTAGCAATGGACTGAGTTGCTGCTGATGCTAGTCTGAGCTACTGCTAGCAATGGCCAGAGTTGCTGCTGATGCTAGTCTGAGCTACTGCTAGCAATGGACTGAGTTGCTGGTAGTGCTACTGAGCTGCTGCTAACGCTGGCCAGAGTGGCGGCTAACAATCTTCCTGAACAAAAGAAAAACAGAATGTTGAAGCATTTTTCCAGGATGTCCTGGGAATATTCAGACTTCAAATGCAAGATAGATCTACAGCTTATTGCCTTCCCCCATGTTTTACAGTTTCTAGTTGCAAAGAAAAAAAAACTTTCTATGCCACCTTTAAACACATTTACACTAAATCTATAACAACCAGTTCTTTGAATGGTCTTATTCTGCATCGTGGGGAGCCTAAGTCACACCCATCTACTTCCGCATCACGGGTCCCCGGAAGAACAAAACGATGAATGCAAGTCGATGGGGCTAAAAACGCTATTCTCTAATTCTGCTTGTTTTGTGCCATTGATTTCACATACGATGTCCATGAATTTTAAAAAAGTATCTTGATACCAAGAACCGGCTTATTTTCGAACAGGGGAAACACTATTTTAGGTTTTGTGTGAAAATAAGTCCAGGACTATAAATGCACTGCATGAAAGTGACCCCATTGAACCAGACACAGGGAAAACGGAGGGAAAAGGGCTGTAAGTTCAGCTAACTTCAAATCCTTCCCACAGGAGGAAAGAACCACCATAAATCTGGCCATTTGGTAAGTGGCAGCTACGCTAGGGGAGAGGAGATCATGTGGCGACGTGCTGATGTCTGGTTTGTTGTCATGCTAATGATGAACTTTTACCAGCTGATAGATCTTAAAATACGTGACTGGCGTGGTCGAAACATCCATCATTAGTTTTCATTTAAACTGCAGTACAACATGGCAACCAGGGCGGATTAGACTCATGAGCCCACCGGAAAGGGAGACTTGGGCTCCTTATACTCAGTAGCTGCTAGTTTTGGATGATTATGTCTGTATACTCAGTAAACGTACCAAACTGCGTAACACACACCATTCTGTGTACTTTTTCCCTCTCAGCCACGTCATGCTGTGAAGCTTTTGTCAGTTTTGAAGAACATGGCACACAGGAATGGTCCTGAGTCATTCTTCAGCTTTCCAGGGAAAAATGCAGCTGTGAGTATTCTTCATAATTCCATATTTAGCACAGGTTGGTTTATTGTCTACTCTTGATTGCAAACCTGAAGGCATCAGTAATGAGCTACCAGACCTTCCTGTACATTTATTTTTTAACTCCTTCCTTCAGTTGGCCTAGTAATTGTTTCTAACAAGCAGAGAAGCCCTCTGGTTTCTGATCCAAGAGTTCTTTCTTCCATTAATGCAGCTTTTCCGCATCCCTCTTGGTTCTTTCCTCATGTAATTATAATCATTTAGTGCTTTCTTCTAGTGTTTGAAAGGCTGATCTCCAGTTTGTTTCATTGCGGTGCAACAAACCCAGTTTTTCTCATGCTTGTCTTGTTTCCACATGCTGAAAGTGCACCGTTGTTTTTCTCCTCTTCCTGCCACAACACGTGTTTTGGCATGATGCGGTATTTATCACAGCATGGCCTTTTCCCTCCTTAATACATCAAATCCTATTTGATAAGTGAACCGTTTCATACAGATAAGAACTTAAGTGACGAAGCAGTCATCGGCCAGCGACTGCCCTCAGTGTTGATCTAAGTGGAGCTGAACATGAAGATGAATGAAAGATCTCGTCTAGTGTTTATCCTACAGGAAGTCCTTCCTCTCTGTGTAGAAAGCTTCTCTGGGCTGTGTAGTCTGTTTGTTTTAAACATGTGTGTGTTTGTGGTTTTTTGCCTTTGTGTGTAATGCCTCCTGATAAGGTTGTGGTTTACCTCCGAATACAGAACACTGATATGTGGGACAGCGGTGTAATTCTCTATAGCTGGATAATCTGATATATTGATTAAATAGATTGAGGTTTGTTGTTTGGCGCACACACACACACACACACACACACACACACACACACACACACACACACACACACACACACACTAGCATTTCGATTTGATTCTATTTAGGATTCACCGATCGATGTGAGACGATACAGGTGATTGAACGTTCTCACTGGTCGCCATGTCGCCACTATCTTCTCCACGTAACACGTTTGGTGATGTGCAGGAACAGGTGGATCACAGCATGTCAGCACAACTTCAAAATAATACAGTTTTCAAAATAAAAGTGTGAATATAATTGATTATTCAGTCGATGTTTGCATTTTGGATTGATGTCTGTCGACACATTAATAAGTCAGGTTTACTTAACCACAGATCTCTTAACTATTGTCTGTGCTTGAGCTTTTGGAGCCTCCCATTCTGTTACTATATTCTTTAATGTTGCTGCTTCTCTTTTTATTTTTGCCAACAGGCAATAGCTCTGCCTCCTATTGCAAGATGGCCGTACCAGAATGGATTTACATTCCACACCTGGCTCCGGATGGACCCTCTCAACAACATCAATGTAGACAAAGACAGGCCTTATTTGTACTGGTAGGTAGAAGTGGAACCACTGAGCTTTTTTCTTATGTAAATGTAAGAATGTTACCCCACTGTTGGTATTTAACTCAGTTTTTATGTAAGTGACACAATAAAGAATAAACGAGGTGTCAAACTGTTGAAAACAGGTTGTAGCACTCTGTTCAGTTCTTACTGAAGTTAAATCATCAGTTTTACTCTCTGAGGACAAAGTTATTTTCAAGTAGTAATCACATTTTCCAAAATCTGAATTAGGTCTGTAAAAGAACCGAGAGAGGGAGACAGCCGGAGATCTGTCTGAAAGGATTTATAATCGGTTCCTCTTCAGCCCCGAGCCTCCTTTCAAAGAGGATTAATTGGCTAAATCACATGCAAGGGCTCCAGCTCACAGGGGAAGAGTCCATGAACTATTTGGTGTCTCGATGCGTCAGACGTCCATTATTCATCAGACACATTCAGCACTATCTTTAATTCAATTCAAGTTTATTTATAAAGCGCCAAATCACGACAAGAGTCGTCTCAAGGCACTTCACATAGTAAACATTCCAGTACAGGTCAGTTCATTAAGCCAATCAGAAATAATGTTTCCTATATAAGGAACCCAGCAGACTGCTCTAAAGACACGTGTCAGTGTCTTTAGAGCAGTCGTCATACTAAGCAAGCTTTACATGTAATTAGCATGTGAAACCTCCCACAGCAGCTAACACTCTTGTTTTCTCATCATTTCTATTCCAGTTTCCGCACCAGTAAAGGCATGGGGTACTCTGCTCACTTTGTAGGCGGCTGCTTGATAGTGACCTCATTAAAATCAAAGGGCAAAGGTTTCCAGCACTGTGTGAAGTTTGACTTCAAACCACAAAAGGTACGAAAGACGGCCGTGGTGCTGCACGCTCGTGTACCAACACCAATCAGTTCTTATAAATGAATCATTACTTGTTGGCTCACAGTCACACACACACACACACACACACACACACACACACACACACACACACACACACACACACACACACACACACACACACACACACACACACACACACACACACACACACACACACACACACACACACACACACACACACACACACACACACACACACACACACACACACACACACACACACACACACACACACACACACACACAGACACACAGACACACAGACACAGACAGACAGACAGTAACTGTAGACCTTGCTGTGTGAAGGTCTGGTCTTGCCTGACTTTGAGAAAAAAGTAGAAGATGGTGGAATGAGGGCCATAGGTGAAAATGATCTAGAACCCTGGCCGTGCCCCCCCACTCCCCCGTCAGCTACAACACACTCTGAAGACCAGAGAGATCCTTTGTCTCTGGACAATTTGATACTTCCTCCTTCGTGGAGATGAAGGCACTGGTATACACCCACTAACCTCAGCAGGATGCTGAAGGCTAAATTTAGCTGATTTTAAAATCTATATTTAACACACACACACACGCACACACTTTTATGCCCTCTGGTAACTTTAGGGGAGCTGGTTCCCCGAGGGCAGCAGTGACTGGAGCAGGCTAACTATGTGGACACGAAGATTTCTCACTTCTTGTTTTTGATTGATTTTCTTGAACGAGAGAACATGAACGTGTTGTGAGGCTTTTTTACATGTTGTTGCAGTGGTACATGGTGACTCTTGTTCACACCTACAATCGCTGGAAAAACAGTGAGATTAGCTGCTACGTTAACGGAGAGCTGGCGTCCTTTGGAGACCTCGCCTGGTTTGTCAACACCAGCGACGTAAGCAGCAATCTCAGACTTCTATTCCGTTTTATACACTTGATTATTATTAATGAGCAATGGGCGATGACCCAAGTTTGTATGATAGTTTTTATCTGGTCAGTGGACTTAATTAGACTTCCACTGATATTTCTGGATAAATAAGGAAACGGGTGTGATTTGGGTATTTTTACTGGAGGTTTTGTAACTAGAGATAACATAGCTTAGCATAGGTGCAGTGAAAAGGTCCCTATTTAAAATATTCTTAATAAATTGGTTTAATTAAATATTAAATTACATGTCTGATTATATCCTTTGTGTTTGAGGACAAAAATCAAACTTTCCTCTAATTTGCATCCAGTCTGCTCTTTTTTTTCCTTTAATCTTTCAGAATAACCATAATCCTGATCCTTAGTTTGAATAGTTCAGTCAAAACCGACGTTAGAACACGTGACCTCTGAATCTGCTGTTTGTTAACACAAATCTTTCTTTCTTGCTATTTTTGGTTTTATTTATTCAGGTTTTTTGCCTAAATTTTTCTCTGCTTCCATTTTTAAATGAAATGTTTTTACTTCATCAATGTCCTTCGCTCCTCCTCCTCCTCCTCCTCCTCCTCCTCCAGACATTTGACAAGTGCTTCCTCGGATCCTCGGAGACGGCGGATGTGAACCGTGTCTTCTGTGGACAGATGGGGGCAGTTTACTTGTTTTCAGAAGCTCTCAGTGCTGCTCAGATCTTGGCCATCTATCAGCTGGGTCCCGGCTACCAGGTTGGAAAACGCACCAACAGGAACCTGCGATATTAATATAGTGGAAAATCATGCCAGGGGCCTTGATCCAGGTAGATTCAGTTGAGTCGTGCAAAGGGAGACCTGAAGCAGAATGGATTCAAAATGGAAAAATTAAGTGTTCATAGAAATAAGGTAAAGACAAAATAATGTCGGTCCTTTCCAACGAGTTGGGTTTTAACCTTAAGAGCATGTTTCACGCCTAAACAAGGCTACAAGGAGCCCCGGGGCATCTCCATGGCTCTGCTCCTGAAACCTTTATTTACTTCTCCATGACCTGTGTGTGGTGTGTAAACACAGCTCTGACAGCTGATCTCACTCAGCGCCATAAATGGGATCAGAGACTCTTTGACCTTTTAACCTATCAGTCAGAGGAGATTCCTTGGTAATAAGCATTTCATTAGCAGAAATTATTTTCAAAACTAAATGTATTCCCTGGAATTTTGCTGTCGTCTTATAAAATCCAGAGCCTGGGACGAGCTGGCTTTTAAAATGCTGCTCAAAGACACACGAGCAGAACTGAATCAGGGCCCATTCCTTTCAGAAAGTTGCACGTGTGCATTTGTGTATGCGCGTGTTTCTCCTTCAAAACAAGCTCTTCTGTTTTCTAATGCTTTGCACAGGGTACGTTCAAATACAGGGCTGAGAGCGACTTGCTGTTCGCCGAGCATCATAAGACCTTACTGTACGACGACAAGCTCTCGTCCTGCATCGCCTTCACTTACAACCCTCGCGCCACCGATGCCCAGCTCTGCCTCGAGTCCTCCCCCAAGGACACCGCCTCGATTTTCGTCCACTCGCCCCACGCCCTCATGCTGCAGGTAAGCACACATCTTCAGTATGACACCGCTTCCCCTGTCAGTTGGGATTTGCCCCACTTGATTCCCCGTGCAGCAGTGGAAATGAAGGAATGTTGATGCTAATCTGATCACCACCTGCACCCCTTTCCCTGTTCTGTATTATTTTACTTGTTGGAATGTTTATAATTACAAAAAGTGGTATATTTGTAATTGTAGTAAATGAAGGTATTATTGATAACAGAGAAAAACATATTTGCAAAAAAGTATGGCTCTTTTACTCAGTAGTTTATTAACCGTATTCATCCTTTCATCCTCTTGAGTGTTGAAGGGTGAAATGTTCCGTGTGATTGTTGAAAACCAGCTGAAATCAAACCCAAAGGTCAAGGTGCTGTGGAGCCCAGGATGTACTTCCTAACAAACCTTTGATTTAGTCACAAAGTGTCCTCTCTGTTCATCTATCTAGTAAAATACCAGATTGAACTGATATCTGATACATCGAAGGTGTAAAACACATCTTATGGCTGTGGCATGACTTCAGTAATGTAACCTGGGTCCATTTGGGGTTTGAAACATTAGAGGTGACCTGACTGGGACTGATCTGACCCCAGTTGTGTCCCAGCAGCTCTTTTCCATGAATCAAACCTCTGCTATAGCCAGCTTGTGGCTTTTTCTGCAGCTTCAGTTGCAGATCTAATATCCTTCGTCTTTGCCTCCCTGGTGAGGCCCAGCAGCGTTAATACCGTACAGAGCAACCGCCCAGCATGTCCTTGTCACCCCCCCTCTGGAGGTTCGCAGTACATTCTCCAGCCTTGCCTCTTGCCTCATCCACCAGCTCCTGGTATTTGGCACGCTCCAGCAAGATGCAAAAGATGATTATCCTTGGTAAGCTCCTGCATGACCAGCTGCTTGGTGGCATCGAACACAAGGATCTTGTCTGATCAAAGCCTTGTTGGTGTTATCCTGGATGGAGCGGACCTCAGCAAACTGCTAAAATTCCCAACCTCCAGTCCGTAGAGGTGGAGAGGAGGCTTGTCTTTGTTCATGGTTGAATGCTGGACTTCTTCATAGCTCTGTGGTGTCTAGTAGCCCTTGGTGGCGTTGATGGCTGTGGCTATTCTCTTAGCAACCGCCCATATCACCCGATCATGGCGCCAGCGATTGCACCTGTCTGCAAGCGCTTTGGGCAGCAGCTAAGGCGTTCCAGGGATCCGCGTCCTGAACATTGAGGAGAGAATGGTGTGTCAGGTTTACCCTCGACATGGAGGTCGGCTGGGCTCGGAAGGACATTGTATCGAGCTTGGAGCAAGAACCCAACACGATGAAAGTCTGCCTTCCAGATGTTAGAACTTGTGATCTTGTGTTGCAGAACATTCTGCCTTTTGGACCGAGTTCTTTCCTGTTCCCACCATCCTGGCGGCTGATATTGTCGAACACTTAATTTTTGATACTGATATAAATAAATATTAATATTTACCCTCACCCCCGCCAAGAGTAGAGAAAGACTAGGTAGCCAACATGTCTCCTGTCGTTCTACTTGAACCTTAAACGTTATCTGACCACTTCTCTACCTTTTTGGAAAACTCAAATGCTGTTTTCAGCGGTCACCAAGAGGCTCCACCCCTTTAAATACTGACTTCATAATCAGAGGTTTTAACTGATTTGTTGCTTGTTTTTGTCACCAGAATATTTGTGTCTACAAACGCAGTGTTGATCCTGTGGAAGCTAACAGCTTGTACGTGTGTTTGTGTAGGACGTGAAGGCTGTGGTGACTCACTCCGTCCAGAGTGGCATCCACTCCATCGGTGGTGTGCAAGTCCTCTTCCCTCTGTTTGCACAGCTGGATTATCGCCAGCCCTCCAGCCAAGAGCTGGACACCTCTGTCTGGTAACACCTAACAATGTGGCGGTGAACTGAGCGTTGGAGAGGATTTAACGTTTCACTTTAATGATTGTAAACCACTCCTAGCTTAATGTTCTGCTAGCTTGGTAAATGACTACTTTGCTTGAGGACAGTCCCATGTTGAGCTGTTGTTTGCAAAATGTTGTTTTCCCACAACTCTTACAAAACAAGCTTAACCCCTGTTTTCTGTTAGTTTAACTACATTTAGTTCGTAATATAGACAATGGTGTTAAGTTTTTAAATAATATGAATAAGAAGTGAAATGTTTTCAGTGTTTTATTTAATCCCCTAGGATTACACACACACACACATTTGAATGTTTAACCTAATTGACCTGAACTGAAGTGCAGTGTGGCTCCATCAGCTGCTCTTAAGGTGACGCCAACTCGGATCTGTTCTCGCTGCACTTTGGGGACACAACACCCTCATTCAGTCACACTCATGCAGGATATACCTCTGACAGTCAGGGCTTTGTCAGCAGCTTGCACACATTATTGTCACTGTCTAACTCGCTGTCTGTCCCTCTCTTTGTCTCCATGTGTGTGTGTGTGTGTGTGTCTGGGGGAGTAGCTGCACTTTACTGTCTTTTGTGATGGAGCTTCTGAAGAACTCTGTGGCCATGCAGGAGCAGGTGTTGGCCTGCAAAGGCTTTCTTGTCATCGGCTACGCTTTGGAGAAGGTGAGAGGAACAGAGATGAGGAGCCATCTTCTCTGACCTGCAGACCTGCAGCTGCTCTCAGGACGAGCAGAAGAGCAGGGCCCAGGGGTCTGCTACCTGTGGCTCTGGGGACCTTCCACAATGGCTCATAATAACTACAGAGATAATAAAAAGTGCAGGTTTAAACAGCTTTTCAGTGTTAAGTAATAATTTCATGGAATTTCCAAAACAGAATGACACTAACAGTACTTATTTATGATATTTAGATAATAAATATTTCTATATTTTGTTTGTTTTTACATTATTTTCCACAAACTGTTATTGCAAAAGCTTTATTTTTATCATTTTAAAACTTAAACAAAATGGTGATTAAAAACCTTTTAGTGGATTTTTACACAAGATTTCAGATTTTACTGTATACTTAAACCATTTGGAGTTCTGCTTTATTCTCAGAGTTCTGAAAACTGTTGAGTGGCCCTCCTGTAACAGCTGCAGCTTTGAATACGTTTGATTTAGGTGGCTGTTTGGATTGTAAAGGTCACAGACCCTGCTAGAGCTTTGTGGAGGTCACGCTTGACCTGTAGGTCCTTTTCTTTCCAGCAGTTTTCTTTTCAGTGTGTGAATGTGTGTGTGCACAGGAGAATGACTGATTGTGTTGTGAAGTGCCTTGGAGGGTTGTAGAAGCCTAGAAGGCGCTTTAGGAATACAGGCCATTTTTAACCTTTGTAGTTATTCTGCCTTTTAGTTCCCTTTTACATGAGATGTCTTTTCCTCCGATTTCTCCCTCCTCCGCTCCAGTCCTCCAAGGTGCATGTGACACGGCCCGTCCTGGACATCGTTTTGGCCTTTTCCAGGTACCTTAGCAACCTGCAGAACGGCATCTTGCTGCTGAAGCAGCTGTCTGACCACATTCTGTTCAACCCCGCCATCTGGATCCACGCCCCTGCCAAGGTGAGACAAATCCACTCGTGCTCATCTTTCCACAGATGAAGAATAATTCCAGCTAAACTAAATCTGCGTTTGCTCTTCCTGCTCTGCAGGTGCAGCTGATTCTCTACACCTACTTGGCGTCAGAATTCATCAGCACGGTGACGATCTACAATGCTGTTCGCAGAGTGGGCACCGTGCTTCAGATCATGCACACACTAAAATACTACTACTGGGTTGTCAACCCTCAAGACCGCAGTGGAATCACCCCCAAAAGCCTTGGTGAGCCTGCACAGATTGTCAAAATAAATGACATTAATATTCCTGTGCATGATTAATATTACCCTGTTTCATAAAGGAAGCAGGTGCGGTCATTTTATGTTTGTAATTCTCAAATTCGCCTGCACAAAAGTACACCTTCACACACTTCCAGATCCTTTAATTATTCCTGATTAGGGCTGAATGTGGGGGAAAGAAATGACAGAGTACTGTTTCTGTGGAACGTTCTGGACTTTATCGGTGTTGTTCCAATAACAAAACTGTATTATCATGAAACAAAAGTATGCTTGTCTGCTCCTATCGCTCATAGGAGCATTAGAAACCCCACATTTTTATCATCTGCAAATTATTTGTGATTAAGCTTGAGTTAATATTGCAATAATTTATCATTTTTTTGCAGATTAGCAGCCATTTTTGAAGATTATCTTTGATTGAGGCAGACGTTTGCACTTAGAGTATTAAATGGAATTATATATATATATATATATATTTGGGATGGTGAGTTGGAATTGTACTTTTGAATATTCTTCTTCTCAGAAGGGCCGAGGCCCAAACCGAAGGAGATGCTCTCTTTGCGAGCCTTTCTGCTGCTGTTTGTCAAGCAGCTCATAATAAAGGTAAGCTGGTAATATTAATTAATCCATCTGATGCTATTAAAAAATCTTCTTAAAATGTGATTTTCCCGTGTTATTGCTGTGTTGAACTGCCTGATGAAAAGAAACTTTCATTGCTTTTTAAATCCATAATAGTAATTAGATTGATGCATTTCTACGTTTTCCAGCTTTTCACAAATTCTCAGGTCCCATTAAAAAAAGTTGGTAAGATGTGTGTTTGTCACAGGATAATGGAGTGAAGGAAGACGAGCTGCAGAGTATCCTCAACTACCTCCTGACGATGCACGAGGTGGGTGAATGCATCCGTGGCCAGCAGAGAGACGCATCGCCACAAGATGGCAACATAACACTTCTGCTGCGTCTCCTCCTAGCCAGAGTTAATGTCCGCCTGTCTCTAAAGGCAGGAGTGAGGGTTTTGTCAGAGGTGACCATTTCCAGGAGTTGGTTCATCGAAGTTAAAGCGACGCTAAACAGATCAATCCTACTGATCATTTAGAACACGAGTTCCTCTGAAAATAGAGAAAATCATCAGATCCTGTTCTACTGATGTGTTTCTCTAATGCATCACTGCAAACATTAGAATCAGTATTAATGTGAATATGATTTAAAGTGTTGCTATGACGACTTAAAGACTTCTCGTGTCCTCCATGTCCCGCAGGATGAAAATCTGATGGATGTCCTGCAGTTGCTGGTTGCTCTGATGTCGGAACATCCCGGCTCTATGATCCAGGCCTTTGATCAGCGGAATGGGATTCGGTAATTAGAAAGCCTTTGCACTAATGACTCCCCCTGGCTTTAGGTGAAAGGAAGATTAAGCAGCTCTTTTTTTAGCTCACATACTCGGTGTTTAAAAAAGTAGAATTAAAATCTGTTTTCTATTGGATGTAAACAAATGTTTGGTATTTGGTTATTTTGCCCACAGTGTGATTTACAAGCTTTTGGCCTCAACGAATGAGGGTGTGAGAGTCCAGGCACTGAAGGTCCTGGGCTACTTCCTCAAAAGCCTTCCACCAAAGTGAGTTCCTCTTTAATGAGATCTCAGGCGGCAGCAGCCTAGTCTTGAGTTCACGCCGCTACGGGATCGCACGTCTTCCTCAGAAAGATCAAAATCTTTCAAGCATGAAAAAACAAACAAACTTGATTAAATCAGCTTCCACATCTTTTATCATTTCTAAACGTAAACCATGGGAATGATGCCAACCGTGTGACTAGTTACTAAACACCAACTCTTTTTCTATGACTTGAATATTATGAAATGGTTTTGTTGTAGCTGCTGTTCTCAGTGTCTGAATAAAGAAGAACGTCTAGTCTGTCCTTTTAACTCTTTAAAGTCAGAGTTTTAGTCAGAATATTCCCAGTTGTTGAAATTTAAGTTGACACCATAACCACTATTTACCAGCTAATGTGCAATTCTTAATTCCAGTTATGCATCAACCTTAAATTCCACAGCAGGAATGTCTGCTCAGATGGTTCAAAGTGTTAGCAGCTAAACACGATGCCATATTTCATTTTAAAGTTCCAGTTCCCATTAATTCCCAGTCTGAATTGGATTAGTCCAAAACTCATTATAATTAAAAAACCTGATTCAGGTAAATGACTCTTGACTTGTGACCATCCTAATCAGGAGGAAGTCGGAGGTCATGCTGAGTCATGGTCTGTTCTCTCTGCTCACGGAGCGTCTGATGCTCCACTCCAACCAGTTCACCATGACAACCTACAACGTGCTCTATGAGGTCAGTCGGCTAAAAGTATCTACGTTGTATTTTTCTTCTGCTTAATTTGAGAATTTCATCATAAACATGAAATGCTGAAAAAAGATTGACAAAAAATCTGCTAAGAGTTAAAAAAGTGTGAGAGTGAAACGTAAACGCGGCTCTTTGTTTGTCTCGGTTATCGTTCGGAGTAACTTTTCTGACTCAACCCCTCGCTGTCCTCTGGTAGATTCTCACAGAGCAGATCTGCACTCAAGTGATCCATAAACAGCATCCGGACCCCGACTCCAGTCTGAAGATTCTCAACCCACGTAAGCGCCTCCTCTGTGCCACGTAGCTCTCCTAAATCATGCTGCAGCGTACCTACAGCTCCGATCCCCGTGGAAACGTGAGATCACGTCAGTTCAAGTCCCCTCAGAAAATACAATAAAGGAAATTTAGCAGCAGTAACATGAGAATGGGAACACTTTCACCAGGATTCACTGGGAACCGTTAATACCACTCATTATGTCTTTTTTTAGGATTTTATTGATGAATAATATTCAGACACGATTTAATTAATGTAGCTTTATTTTTTAATATCAGGGGTTATTATGGGGGGGGGGGGGGTCCACTGGTGCCCCCTGATGACAGCCAGATTGGACCCCCCCCTGCTGAGGGCAGGCATTGTCATTAATAAGTACTGATTTTAGTGTGGTTTTTTAGTCTAATGTAAGATGTGGAACCAAACCAATTATCTGAAGTTAAAGAGATGCTGAAACAAATATTTTTATGTTGTTACTGAAATAAATAAGAACATGCATTTTTTTGCATAATAATTATGTTTCGAAACAATTTAAAAAGCTGCATCTAAAGCATCTGTAACTGATTAGTTGTTATATTATAGTTACACACTAAAACATAAAATACTTGAAGACCTTGTTCTTAATGTGCCCGGGCCCCTCTAAAGTTATTCTAGAACCGCCCCTGTAGCCTATATAAAAATAATAGATTACTAATCTATTATTTTTATGTCCTGAATAATAATAAAACATTTAATAATGCACATATACATTTGTATTCGTGTGTGTTGCTATATTCTGACTCCACAAATTCACAAAAATAAATATTTCTGTAGTATTTTTATTTTTACGATGCATCATTCAAACCCCCATAAATGCTGACTTAAATCTGTTTAATCTGATATCTGATGTTTGTAATTGATCAAAACTCTTTCATCTGTTGGACCTTCTTTAAAAAATCAGACTCTTTTCTATGCGTGTTTCCTCGTGAGCGCACATGTGCAAAACAGCTTTAATCAGTTTGAAATCCGAGCGCATGCCGTAATCACAACCAAGGTTTACTTCCAACCAGCCTTAATCTGACAAGGTCCCGCTGTAGTCCCACACTGATTATCTTAGGCCTTTATTGTGTTAAAACTCTCCTACCCAACCGTCCCAGACAGGCGGTGTAAATACCGCAGAGGTAAGGCTCATGCTACGGTACACAGAGCAGAGGTCTGGTTCTCCTTTGCTGCAGATTCTCTTGATTTAATCTGCGACAAACTCCCAAAATGGCCCCCTGATTGCAGTCTTTAGTAACGTCAGAGCCAATCAAACAAACCGAGGAAGTAGCGTTTCCCTCAAATTAACTCCGGGGGAAAGAACCAAGAGCAAATGGAAAAAAGAAAGGAGGGAATACGCCATCCCTCCATCCCTCACTCCCGGTACATGCTGGGGTAATTTTCTGGCGGTAAAGGTTCAGCGACTCATAATTTGAGTGACTAAGGCATAGAAACAACACAACTGTCTGCTGGGGCAAATGGGGGGGGGGGGGCGGTGGCAGCATCGGTTAGCGCCAAGGTCTGAAGAGACAAGTGAAATCCAAGCCCGCCATCTCTCGGCTCAGAGCAAATGCACACTGACACTGTCTAGATAATTCATCTAAACAGTCCGTCTCTTTAGTTTAACCAAAGCCGAGCCTTTCAGCAGTGTCCATGACTCCGGCCCGCTCGTTTCAAACAGCACCAGAACCATTACAGCACCATAAAGATCAACTTTTTACTTCCCTCCAGCTGGGAGATTACATGTAACCCTGTGACACAAAGATTTGCACATTTTGGGACCAATATGCGTAATTTAGTGTTTGATATGTGCGGAAAATCTCTGAAAGATTTCCAAATTAAAACTATATTTCATAGACTTTAAGGAGAGGGTAGATCATTGTGTTTGATTAGAAAATGAGAGCAATTCCTGGGTTTCCACCTCCATGAAGAGCTATAAACGGAAGCCTTTTGTTTTGGTTTCAGAAATCCTGAAGGTAATAGCAGCTCTCCTGAAGACCTCTCCCCCCTCCCCTGAGAGCATGGAGGTGCGCCGGGCCTTCCTGTCAGACATGATCAAACTGTTCAATAACAACCGGGAGAACCGCAGGTAAGAGTCCCAGCATGTCTCAGGAATTCGCCTGGTGATGCCTGCTCGGCGCCGCCCCTCCTTCATGTGGCTCTTTATTGTTTTAGGAGCCTGCTGCAGTGCTCCGTGTGGCAGGAGTGGATGCTCTCTCTCTGCTACATCAACCCGCGGAACAACGAGGAGCAGAAAATCACAGAGATGGTGTACGCCATCTTCCGCATCCTCCTCTACCACGCCATCAAATATGAGTGGGGCGGTTGGCGCGTGTGGGTGGACACCCTGTCCATCGCCCACTCTAAGGTCAGAGCGGCCATTGTTCTCACGGGTTAAATCTCACTGTTGGGCTCAGATTTTGCTCTCTCACACGCACGCACGCACGCACGCACGCACGCACACACACACACACACACACACACACACACTGCAGCATTTATAACATAACTTTAACTGTAACCAGCCTCCATATTTGGTTTGCAGCCAGCCAGAAAGCGCTGCCACCCAAACGTTTACTTGTGAAACTGACAAAATGCAGTTTATTAAATAAAGGAGCCAAGCGGCGTTCCTGCCTCGTCCTTTAACTCGTACGGTGAAACCGTGCCGCCTCTCTCCCTGCCCATCAGATTAAACTATGTGGAAGCTGTGCAGTGATTAGGATGTAAAACTAGCTGCAGAATAAACCAGTGGGAGTGAATCCCTTCAGTTAGTCCTTTTTTATTTACATAAAGGGTCTCATTCTTTCACACTGAACAGATAAAAACAAACTTCTGGCTTTTATCATTTCCAAAAGGCCCAACTGTGAACGCTGCTTTAGAAACTCACTGTTGATATCGGGTTGCACCGCTCTGCTCCAGAGCAGTGAAATAATTGAGGTTGGTGTCAGATTGTGGTCTGGGGGCTTTTTAAGCTTGGCAGATTGAAAGGTGAGTTAAAGAAGTGCTTGTGATATGAGACGCTCCACAGTAGCACGTGGTGCTGTAGCAGCTGCCGTCCAACAGGGGGCAGAGGCGGGCCTCTACAGAGAAAAGGTGTGTGTGTGTGTGTGTGTGTGTGTGTGGTGTTTTCTGAAATCCTCTGTCTATATCTCCATACTCTAGAATAGAGGACACAAAAAGAGAAACAACAGATTGAAGTCTTTCTTACAATATAAAAATGTTACAGATATTGTTTATATTCCAGTTTTTATTACTCCTTTAAAACAAATAAAGCAGAAATATCCTGCTGGACCGTTAATCACATGTACAAAAAAACCAGACGCACAACAAAACTCTTGTAAAGTTGTTCCATTTTGAAATTTTCGCTGAGAGAAAATCTAGTTCCTACTCTGAAAGACTGCACGTGCACTTTTCCCCTCTTCATAACGGCATGCACGTGCAACACAACACACATACAAAGGAACCCTCCGTGCATGAAGTAGCCTGTGAATTGGAAGCTGCAGCAAGCGTTGGCCACCAAGATACATGCATCTGCTATAAAAAAGCTAAAGAAACTCAATTGCAATTTTATTGTCCCGTTTGATAGATTTGCTGCCACCTTTGTAGCACCGGAGCTGTTTGTCACTGTTGCTCTCTCCTCCCACCGCTGCAGGGAATGTGTGTGTGTGTGTGTGTGTGTGTGTGTGTGTGTGTGTGTGTGTGTGTGTGTGTGTGTGTGTGTGTGTGTGTGTGTGTGTGTGTGTGTGTGTGTGTGTGTGTGTGTGTGTGTGTGTGTGTGTGTGTGTGTGTGTGTGTGTGTGTGTGTGTGTGTGTGTGTGTGTGTGCGTCCTGATAGTGCTTGTGTGTCTGGGTGATTGGGAGTCACAGCCACAATATCTTTTGCCCTCCTTCCTTATTGGGTTTCTAGAAAGCCCTTCTGTCTGAGAACACTGAATATTCATCGGTACCACGCAAGAACAATCGGACAAACAAGGCCGTTGGTACTGGTGAGTTCTGTTAGATCTGAGGTGCTAATATGCATCCATGCGCACATGAAACTCCAAAAACTAGAATATGGTGCAAAAGTTAATTTGTGGCAGTAATTCAGCTTAAAATACATGAAACAGACTTACATGCAAATCCAGATATTTGAGCCTTTATTTGTTATAACTGTGATGATTATGGCTTACAGCTGATGGAAACCCCACATTCAAAATCTCGGACAATTTAAATATTGGGAAAAGATCCAATAGTCTAGACTCAAAGTGACACACTCTAATCCGCTGATGAGTCGAAACACCTGCAAGGGTTTCCGATAGGGCTGCATGGTATTAGGAAAACCTGCGATATTCGATAACAATGATCAATATTGCGATGATGGTATTACTTGCGATAAATAAAAACTTAACTCAGGAACAAAAATAATCAAAAATCATAAAAATGAGAAAAGCAAAAGATGTGAGGAAAGGGGAAAAGAAAATGAACAAGAAAAGGCGATCAGGGGATCCCGGGAAAAGCGGAATCAGCAGAAAGAACAGAACAAAGCTAACTCGGGTGTTTGCTAACCATCAACATTAAATGACATCTGCCTCGGGGGCGGGCATCTAACCTATGAGAACCCACCCAATTGGTCAAATGGGTGAAGAGCTCCATTTGATTAGTTAATAAAACATAATCCTTCCTGTTTGACTGACAGAATGCATTATGCTGACCATTCATTGTGATATTAATCTGTTCTTTGCGATATACATATTGTGCATGCTGATATCGCGATAACGATATATTGTGCAGCCCTAGTTTCTGAGCTTTAGATGGTCTCTCAGTCTAAGTTGGATCACTGAGGTAAATGGACTTTTGCACCATATTTTAATTAACCAATTTCACCTGTAAACATTTGCTCACTTTGCACAAATTCAACAAGAGTTTTCTGTGAGTTAGTTGTGTCAAACTCATTCACTGCCAATGACGACTGAAGTCGTTATTTGCATGTTTTTACTGTGTGGGCATCGGAACGAGCCCCCGCACCGTGAGAACAAACATCTCAGCGCTTAAGCCGATCTTCATCCGCATGTGTCACACGTCATGTGATCAGGAAGCAGAAAATCCATGTGTTAGGAGATTGTTTTGGACCGCTGCTGTAAAAAAAGTGAGGCGCCAACCGGAAAAGCTTCTGCCGATCACAATTCAACAACGGATTATGAGAGAACGGATAACGCTCGAAACACGCGGATTCTTCCTGATTTAAGAGGTGAGTCTCCGGTTTGTTTTGGTTGTTTTGGTTGTTTTGGCGTCTACATCATCCTAGCGCGCATCGTTGTGACTCTTAAAAAAACAGTAAAAACGGTGAGAGACGCTGGCAGCGAATGAGTTAAATGATAAAATAACCTCTAACGTAATGTGGCTCTACAAATCCTGTAATCATGTGGAGAGTCTAAGAACTGATGAGCCAGATTCAACACTTGAATATCACTATTTGCCTTTGTGATTTTTATATTTAAACAAAATTTTTTGGTTATTGTTTTAACATATTAGCATGTAGAACAATAACAAACTCCCATCCCCACCCAGCTACACCGGATCACCTAAAACAGGTCTCACTGTGACACTAACTCAAAATCACAGCACGAAATCTAATTCTGAAAACAAACAATAATATATATATGTGTGTGTGTATATATATATATATATATATATATATATATATATATATATATATATATATATATATATATATACATACATACATACATACCGTGGGGCAAAAAAGTATTTAGTCAGCCACCGATTGTGCAAGTTCTCCCACTTAAAATGATGACAGAGGTCAGTAATTTACATCATAGGTACACTTCAACTGTGAGAGACAGAATGTGAAAAAAAATCCATGAATTCACATGGCAGTATTTTTAAAGAATTTATTTGTAAATCAGGGTGGAAAATAAGTATTAGGTCACTTCAAACAAGGAAAATCTCTGGCTCTCACAGACCTGTAACGTCTTCTTTAAGAAGCTTTTCTGTCCTCCACTCGTTACCTGTATTAATGGCACCTGTTTGAACTCATTATCTGTATAAAAGACACCTGTCCACAGCCTCAAACAGTCAGACTCCAAACTCCACTATGGCTAAGACCAAAGAGCTTTCGAAGGACACCAGGAAAAGAATTGTAGACCTGCACCATACTGGGAAGAGTGAATCTACAATAGGCAAGCAGCTTGGTGTGAAAAAATCAACTGTGGGAGCAATTATCAGAAAATGGAAGACATACAAGACTACTGATAATCTCCCTCGATCTGGGGCTCCACGCAAGATCTCATCCCGTGGGGTCAAAATGATCATGAGAACGGTGAGCAAGAATCCCAGAACCACACGGGGGGACCTGGTGAATGACCTGCAGAGAGCTGGGACCACAGTAACAAAGTTCACCATCAGTAACACACTACAACGGCAGGGAATCAAATCCTGCAGTGCCAGACGTGTTCCGCTGCTGAAGCCAGTGCATGTCCAGGCCCGTCTGAAGTTTGCCAGAGAGCACATGGATGATAAAGCAGAGGATTGGGAGAATGTCATGTGGTCAGATGAAACCAAAGTAGAACTTTTTGGTATAAACTCAACTCGTCATGCTTGGAGGAAGAAGAATACTGAGTTGCATCCCAAGAACACCATACCTGCTGTGAAGCACGGGGGTGGGAACATCATGCTTTGGGGCTGTTTTTCTGCTAAGGGGACAGGACGACTGATCCGTGTTGTGGACAGAATGAATGGGGCCATGTATCGTGAGATTCTGAGCCAAAACCTCCTTCCATCAGTGAGAGCTTTGAAGATGAAACGTGGCTGGGTCTTCCAACACGACAATGATCCCAAACACACCGCCCAGGCAACAAAGGAGTGGCTCCATAAGAAGCATTTGAAAGTCCTGGAGTGGCCTAGCCAGTCTCCAGACCTCAACCCCATAGAAAATCTGTGGAGGGAGTTGAAAGTCCGTGTTGCTCGGTGACAGCCCCAAAACATCACTGCTATCGAGAAGATCTGCATGGAGGAATGGGCCAAAATACCAGCTACTGTGTGTGCAAACCTGGTAAAGACCTATAGTAATCGTTTGACCTCTGTTATTGCCAACAAAAGTTATGTTACAAAGTATTGAGTTGAAATTTTGTTATTGACCAAATACTTATTTTCCACCCTGATTTACAAATAAATTCTTTTAAAATCCTACCATGTGAATTCATGGATTTTTTTTCACATTCTGTCTCTCACAGTTGAAGTGTACCTATGATGAAAATTACTGACCTCTGTCATCATTTTAAGTGGGAGAACTTGCACAATCGGTGGCTGACTAAATACTTTTTTGCCCCACTGTAAATAATCCACAGGAACACTATTTAAATAAGACATGGCTGATAATCAAACACTGAATCCCTTGACCGAGCCCTAACCCTGCCTGATCCTCTCCATATGAACATGAGACATAGACTCTGGGATCCGTGTGCTGGCGGTCCTTCCACCTGGACAATAGAAGCCCTTTAGCCAGCAAACGGCAGACTTAGCAGGCATGTGTCAGAGAGAACATCCACCACCACGCCGGGTGCAGAGTGGGCCCACAGAGGTCATCAAAATTAAACCCACAATATCCCTGAAGTTTCAGTCGGGTCCAGAACACGTGAAGAGGTGTGGCCAGACCTGGAGCCAACTTGTGACCATTTCAAACGGTCTTTGTGAGTTTTAATAGGAAGAAAAACACAATACCCTGCTCTCGTTTCACTAAATACTTTTGTGATGAGTTAAAAAATAAACAATCTAAATGAGAAGAGACCTTTTCCACATGTGCATTGTGTGTATTTGCGTGTGTGTCTTGTGAACAGACAGATGTTCCTGCAGCTGGGCACACTGACATAACAGCCCTCCCACTCTCAGCAAACATCCCATCCAAGGTGCCCGTCGTCCATGTCTGCACACGAGTCAGTCTGAGAACGAGAGGCTCTCCCAAGGAAAAGAGCCAGAGGCGTGACGGTTCCCATGTCCTTCCCTCCCCCCTCCGTCAGCGAGCTTCGTCACTCGTGTCAGACACCACAGAGATGAACAGAATGAGCTCTTGCATCTTTTAACATGAACTGTTCCAAAACCTTCCCTTGGGATTTTGTTTTGTTAATTTTCTGGGAATAATAAAAAAGACCTGTTTGAGGTTAATGTGATACAAAGATTCCCCCAGAATGCAAACAAGTGATGTTTTGCTGCGAGATACTCCTAAAATAAGTGTTTAAAAATGATTTAGCAAGGTTTTATGCTAGAGTTTTGATAAAAAAGACAGTTTCCCCAACTTTAAAGCCACTGGGCGCTTCAGGATGACACGCTCCCCATGGGACACAACAGGAAACTCAAAAAGTGCTAAACAGACTCTTGAGTACTACAAAACTCTCAGGTGACCCCAACCACTGCAGACTAACCCACTCTGATGGGAAGTAAGTGCAATCCACACGAAGACCAACTCATAATCCACAGCTTTCTTCCTGATAATCTGTAGGCAGAAGCTTCAGCACACCCACTTGTGTTTCTAGTCCATGTCTTCTTACACCAGATTATTCCTTTGGTGGCATGAAGTAGTTGGTTGTAACAGTCCAAAAGATGAAGCTTTTAAGTGATGTTGACTTTGGAAGAGACATTTAATTAATCCAATCAGATTAAAGCTATAGTACCCTTGGATTATCTTTTTTTTTTATTACGTAAATTCATTTTATGTCTGAACTGCTTCGTCCTCAGTGAGGTCACGGGGAGTTGGTGCCTGCTGTCATCAGGCAAGAGGCGGGGGACACCCTGGACATGCCTCCTGTAGGATCCCGAGTACTCCCACGCACGGAAAGAACATGCTAACCTTATGCAGAACGGTCACAGCTGGGATTCAAACCCGCAACCTTCCCTCCACGAGACATCATTGCTACCAGCTGTGCTACCATGCAAGCCCAACTTCTAACTGAGAAGCTTCATTCATGCAGTGTAAATGTTAGCAAAATATTTTAAATAAAGTTGTTGCAGTTAATTTTCATTCTTTATTTTTCACGTTGACACCCAGAGAAGTGTTTTAATGGACTGCTCTGGCTTTGTTGCCCCGCTTGTGATGGCGTGTCACACCAGAAAGCCCACCATGTTGGCCTACATCACCAGAACATTCTTCCACCAGCCTCCACAGCCAGCCGAGACACTGAGTGGACTGAAATTAGATTAGATCAGCGCTGATGTCTCAGCCACCCAAGGCAGCTCCTATATGTTGTAGCAAGCCTAAATGCTGTTTAAACCCCACAGAGAAGTGTTCTACCTCTAACGGTAACGGGATCTGCTACAGCGCCTCATTTAAGGCCAGCATACATCATCCTAATGTACAGACGGCATCCTTAATCTGCAGTGTTACGCACTTCACCACACTCCTGCATAATGTCCATGGCAGTCACTCTTAATGCAGCCTTTTAATTGCTAAAAATGATAAATGTCAGATTAAGCTCAGACTAATGGGTAGAAGGTCTGACTGTGTGATCACTGGGAAAGAAGAGAGGAAGAGAGAGACGGCTCGCTGGTGCATGTGCGCTCTGAAAGCAGCTATGGATTACCAGTCGCTGCTCCCCACTACAGAAGATTAATGAGCACCCATGTAGCAGGCTAATTTAGAACAATAACGCCTAATTAATTACAAATAATCAGCTTCTCTCTCCTTCTTTCCTTTCTTCCTCTCTCAATCACTCACCTTCTTTCTTCTCCTCTGCAATTTATTAGTTCTCCCCCTCCTTTTCATCTTTGGCTTTCTCGTTTTCTTTGTTTCGTTCTCACTCTTCCCCTCTTTACTTCCTCCTTCTGTCCAAATAGCCTCAGGTGAAAAATCAGCAGAGTGGGTCTAGTTTCTGCACCCCCACCTTCTCCCATCTTTGACTCCGTCCTCCAAGGCCAGTGATTAATGCGGGGTCTTAAATTAGGCGTGGGAGGATTTGCCGATGCCAGACACGCACTCAGCACAGCTAAAAGACACAAACTAATAGTATCTGCTGCTAATCTATGACTGCTTACATGGACGGGCTCTTCCTCAAGTGCCACTGCAAACCATTGTCAGTATAGACTAGCAGTCTAGTCTACCCATATCAGATGGGATGAAGACTGATGGAGGTTAATAGACCTTGAGCAGCTGCATATAGGGAGGATAAGTTTTAAATATGGCCCAGTTATCCACAAATGGCCCCAGTGGATGGATGCTGCTGTAAGCCTGCAAATAAAAGAGCATTTCCTTTAGTTGTTAGATTTATTTTAAGAATGGCTATGGATGCACGATATACCTACATCATTATCGGTATCGGCCCATGTTGGTCTTTTTTTAACATTTCGGTATCGGTCCAATAAGTGAAACTGGGTCGATATTAACAAGCAATATCTTTTCCATCTTGTTTAGGCTTGTGTATCAGAGGGTGAGGGGGCGATGGTGTGTGATAGTTTAGTCATGTGACGATGATGGTAATCATCTCAGAAGTGTAAATGTGTTAGGTGTGTGTATAAAATAACATATATATATATACACACACACACACACACACACACACACACACACACACACACACACACACACACACACACAATCTAGTTTTCGCAAATTCAGCTTGCATAATTTTCAATTTATTCAAACTGCTGATTTCAGAAGCATAAATGTCAGCGTATATATATATATATATATATATATATATATATATATATATATATATATATATATACACACACATATATATATATATATATATATATATGTGTGTGTGTGTATATATATATATATATATATATATATATATATATATATATATATATATATATATATATATATTAATGTCGGTATTGGCCCAGATTTTTATATCGGTGCATCACTAATAATGGCAGTAACGTTTTAGGCTTAGAAAATATTTATTTTAATCTAGACTGCTTAAATTAGAGGAAACTGTGTTTGGTCATTTTTTTAAATTTTAATCCCAAAGTTTGACTTTTGTAAATTCCAACAATGAATCAATTTAATCTAAGGCATTTCTGGTTTGGAAAGCACCAAACCACCTCGAACGAAGCAGATTTAGCCTGTTGGGATTATGCTGGATCCTGTAGGGTTGTGTGGTGAGGCCTTCGTGGATTAGGGGTTGGCTGGGTAAACCCCTCAGGTGTTTGATAAGATAAGGATCAGGAGAATTTAAAAGCCTGGTACTTTATCTGGACTTTCCTATTTCTGGGAAAGTTGATGTTTAAAGGGCTTCTGAGTGAAAATAATGTATTGCAGTTTTATCAGTTTTTTGTGTATTACTGATTGCTAATAATTTAAAGACATTGCAGTTATTTGTGTGTTTTCTAGGTGAGTTTTGAACAGCACAAGGAAAGTCTGTCCCGGATGTTCCGTCAGTACCAGCATCAAGAGTCTACGGGCTCTCAGGGTGCAATTCGAACCATCTCTGGTGTCAGCCAAAGCTCCGAGACCATAAAAAGCATTAATGGGCCACCCAGAGAGGAGATGCCGCCCTCCACTGTCATTGAGCTTACAGTGGACAAACTGTCCCAGAAATCCCTGGACTCAGCACCAAGTCCAACCAACACCTCCAGGCCAGAGGAGGTCGGGGAGGACAGGGGCCACACATCCATCACTGTGTCCAACATTCTGGCCGGGGCTGAAGATGAAGAGCAGAAGCTAATGGAGGAGTCATCTGGCGACCGCTCAAGTGTCAAACAAGAAACCGTATCGGCTGTGATGCAACAAACTAACGCTGGAGAACAGGGCAAAGAAATCGAGGAGGAAAAGGCGGCGACTGAGACGGGACCTGACGAAAGCAATAAGGATGTAGAAACCACCGATGGCGACAAATCTGTCATAACTGACACAAAAACTGAGGGAATGGAAGGAGATCCAGACCATTCTACAAGTCAAACGAGTAGTGAGGAATCCATTGAACACACCCAAAGTGAATCAACAGACGTTCCAGGAAAAGGAGACACATATCAGCAAATGTCCCCCGAGCCTGTGTCCTCTCTGGAGAACAGTGGAGCGTCTGTCTTCAACGAAGATTTGGTTGATGTTTCATCTGTTAGTGACCAGATCCACCGTAGTGATGCAGATGACAGCCAAGAAGAGTCCTCTTACACTTCTGCTGTCACTGGAGAGGATGGAGAGGTAGGTAAGGAGGACGGTAAACACGAAGATGGGAATGGCAAAGCAGACCATCGCAACGAGCAAGAGTCAAAAACGGAAAAGGAAGAAGACAAGATGCAGGAAGTCGACCTGAAAGAAGAAGATAGTAAATCTGTAGAAAAGCAGGTATCTTGTTCAGAGGGTCAGACACCTGAGACTGAAACATCAGAACAAACTGAGAATGTTGGCGATGATCCGTGTTCCTCAAGGTCTGAAAGTGCTCCTACACACCAGCAAAGCTCAGATGCTACAGGTGCAGACCCCAACTCCCCAAACCAGCCTCCAGAGACCGGTGGGACCTCAGCCGAAGAAACCCCTGACAGTAGCACCAGCCTTGCCTCCAGCTCAGACACCCACCAGGGCACTGACTCTGCCAACAAGACCAAAGAGATCAAAATAGCCCGACTGGACGTGTCCAATGTGACCTTGGACACGGAGAGACTTGAGCTAAAGGAGACATCCTCAACAGTACGAGTCTAGTTTCTGTCTCTAAGCATGAACCCAGCCTCCTCCTGGGCTCCTCGTGTGTTCAAGTTTGTGTTTATCGATTCAAATCTGCAGGAGATACGCCAAGGCCAATCAGCAGTGGCCACAGCATCAGACGGGGAAGCAGGAGGTTCCTTGGGACAGCCAGGAGAGAGCAGCTCACCGGGGCCTCGCTCTACTATGTTCCGTATCCCAGAATTCCGCTGGTCTCACATGCATCAGCGCCTCCTGACTGACTTGCTCTTCTCTGTGGAGACAGACGTCCAGGCGTGGAGGAGGTAGGGTAGAGAACCATGTGTCCTAACTAGTGTCTTTGGTAACAGATGACGCTGATCAGTTTGATCTACTTAAGCCTCTTAAGATGAAGAAAACAAAGTCAATAGAAAACAGTTAGTAAGGTTTATTTCTGGGTGTTTTACTGTAGAGTCATTCTCTGCAGCAGCCTGGGCGATGTTTACTTTAGGATAAACAAGGATCAGCTGCAGTGTTGCAAACATTTATCTCCATTGAAAAAAATGGAGCTGACAAATGTTGTGCTGCAGTCTGCTTCCAGCACGCTTGCTGCATGTTTTAGATCATGAACACAGCTGATTTGTTTAATTTAGTGATGACTCACTCCAGTAGACGATAAGGAAGGCTGGGAGATGTTCCAGCTGTTAGATTAAGGTGTTAAAACGACGAAAGCACAGCTAGGTTTTGCTTTCGGTTCTACAAACAGACACTAGGAGGTGGTAAAAGCAAACCAAAACTGCCTAGTTCCCCTTTAAGATCAGCTGGTGAATGATCCTCCAATAACCTCATCACTTTCAAGACATTAACCAAGATACCCAGTTGGACACATTATTGATACTGAAGATTTGGAAATAAAATGTAGCGTTCGTATCAATAATTATTGTAGTCAGAGTGTGAGTTTATACCGTAGTTTGGCTTTATATACACTTGAAATTAAGTATTAAGACAAAATGCTATTTGCACAATTGACCTCTGAGTGCTAGATTTAAAGCTGGAGTAATTTAATGGTTCAGTAATAATGTAATTTTACTGAGTTATGTTAAAGTTCTTAGAGAAACCATTTTTAAATGTAAGTTTTACTTCCAGGCTTAGTGCGAAAATAGTTTTCTACCCGCATCTCCTGCATGAGCTGCTGATAGAAAGTAGGCGGGGAAAACCACTCAGTCACATGTCACTCCGAAAAATTAGCATCCATGTACTCGCCCATCTTGACTTGTGACGGGGAAGGTTGTTGTTGGTTTAGTGTCCAGGAAAGAATAGAGAACGGTTAGCATTAGCTACTCCACCACGCAGCAGAACTCCTTCAGCCTTGTGTTATTTTGTGGAGATAAAACATCCACATTGCAAAGCAAACAGTCTGTGGTAGAGTCGCGTTGCTGTTAGCCAATCAGAGGTGAGATGTCTGAGTATCAGACTCCATAACCTGCCTTGTTCTGCTCACCTCTCCTCTGGCTAGCTTCTACTTCCTGAAACAGGAGCGCTAGAGCTTTCCCCCACAGAGATGGACTCTTTATATTAGAGACCGCTGCACCGTTGAACAAGCAAGTGAACTTGGTCTTTAAGAAAAACAACCTTTTTGTCCTTCACTTTTCAGCCACTCCACAAAGACCGTTCTGGACTTTGTGAACAGCAGTGAGAACATCGTGTTTGTGCACAACAGCATCCACCTCATCTCCCAGGTGGTGGACAATCTCATTATGGCTTGTGGAGGCATTTTGCCTCTGCTCTCCGCTGCTACGTCCTCCTCTGTGAGTCTGAGTTTTCCATCGGCGCTTTTGTCTACAGGGCTCATGGCCACGGGTCACAGGAAGTTATCAATCCACTTTGACCTTTTCCAATCACATTAGCCTACAGTAAGCTGCCTCCTAACAATGTTAGTTTGTTTGTGTCCTGGCTGACCTCAGACCGCTGCCATGCTTCTCCTCCGTCTGGGACCTGAGCAGCCAGGATGAGAAAGGGGCTCAAAGCTGATTTAATTTAGTTGCATTTTTTTGTGACGCTAAACAAATTTCAGACTGAATGCAACAAGAAATTACACCATTTTTAATGCTGGACATGGTGCATCTCTTTAGAAATGTTAATGTTATGGAAAAAAATTCTCTTACACGAAAAAACAAAACAGACTTTAGAAGAAATATGTATTTTCCTCATGAAAAACATTTTTTTATTTATTACTAAGATGTTTTTTTTTCTCCCAGCATGAGCTTGAAAACATTGAGCAATCCCAGGGCTTGACCGTGGAGGCCTCAGTCACCTTCCTGCAGCGCCTCATTAACCTCGCCGATGTCCTCATCTTTGCCAGCTCCCTTAACTTCACCGAGATAGAAGCTGAGAAGAACATGTCGTCAGGAGGAATCCTGAGACAATGCCTTCGTCTTGGTAAGCACCTTCACCACTTTCTACTATCGGAGCATCAAGGTAGTTTTACATAAGCGTGTCCACTTTCTGGGCCGGCTACCTGAACTGGGGTATGTACTCTAAAAGGGCCCGGTAGCGTTGCTGGGTGGAACTTGTGGTTGATTCTTGCTGATTGGTTATGAGTCAATCGGAGATTAAATCAACAGATGTCGCCAAACAGCTGGCCTTTGTAACGTGAAGAGTAGCTAGTGAAGGTGAATGGAAGGGAAAGGAGATGAGCAGCGCTGACGATATTAGTCTTTGTTTTAGTTTGTTTTTTAAACCCGTTCATTTCTGCCTCTTTCCACCCAGGCTCTAGTTACTCTCACCTCGCTTACGCGCACCACCTCTCTCTCCTATCATAACCCTACTGCATGGCTACACTTTAAAATGGCTGCTAGCGTGATGTAGTGAGTTGTCCATAATGGCCTTGGCTGTGCCGGCGTTGCTGCGTAGCCCGAAGTGTTGTTCTGCACGCTGTTCCAGGCTGTTAAAGTTTCCTCTGACAGCACCAAAAGCCCGAGCTCACAATCGCTGAATAAAAGATACTGAAGTTGTTGCATTATTCAGGTTCTGTGGACGAGCGTCTTAGCAAACACCATGAGGTTAGTAAACAGTCAGACAGAAGTGTGAAACTAACCCTTGTATTTAGGTAGCAGTTCAGACTCTGGTGCCTCATTTAGCTCCTCGTGTCACTGTGCACGTGGATTATTGGGACATGGCCGTGTTTCCTCAGGTCACATCGCCGCTGTGTGGGGTTTTTAGGAAGCAGCCGTATGAAATGAATATTTGATGAGGTATGCTCTCCCCATCGCTGGCAGCTAATCTGATTTTGGAAAACTGTAACAAGATTTTGGCGTCTCTCCCTCCCCTCCCTCTTCCTTTTATAAATGGCTGTATGAAAGAGTGGTCCTAATGGGAAGAGCGAGCCCATTTCCAAACGGAATAATTCCTCCCTTCGTAATCTTAATGCTGCAGAGTTAACATTTGTCAGACACACAGCTATGGGGGGGGGAGTACATTAAATCACAAATGCTTCTGAACCCACCTAAAGTTGCCGGCTGAGAGGATATTTTTTCGGTTGCATCTTGCTGCCTACTCAGCAAGTGCTCCCTCTAGCAGCGTCGTTTGTTATGTGAGCTGCAAACAGCAGATATGATTCAGGAGAGCACACCTGCTCCGTGACCTTGGGAGGAGAGGTGGGGCAGTGAAGAGTGAGCGGTGCTGCCAGAGTTGGCCAGAGCACTGACCTTGTCATGGCCCCACTTTTTCCTCTTCTTTTTGTCTCTCTCATTCAGCTTCATCTCTTTTTGTCCTCAGCTCAAGTTCCTTAGCTCACATCTGAATAACAAGTGCATGTTTCTCTGAACCACGTGTTCCTTTCCCTCCCTCTGTTAGTGTGTGCTATAGCGGTGAGGAATTGTCTGGAGTGCCAGCATGCTCCGACTAAACAAGGTGCCGAAGGTTCAGCTCGAGCTTTCACGGGTACGCCCAGCAGTGTGCTCGGGACAGCCAAATCTGCAGCTGTTCAGGCAAGTAACACAACTATATCGATCAAGTGTCCACTTCCTGAATTTGTTAAAAAGTGTTGATTGTTTTATAATATAAAATGTCCAAAAAGTTGAGATGGACTCAAACTCCTCCGGCCACCGTGCTAGACCCGATCTGGTGCTGGAGCTGGTTCTTAACAATGGAGGACCAGATTAGGCTTCCACAGCCAGAGAGACTCGCATCATTATATCCTGTAAAATTCCTCTTGCAGTAAAAGTTTGATCCTCTGGTTGCATTCTGAGTTTCTGTAAAGGATCACAGAGCAGGGAGACCGTTTATTTGTGCAAATCACAGCAAAAGTTCCTGCAAACAAATGAGCTCAAAACATTTTATGCCTCAACGTTCTAACATATCTATAAAAATGTTGTGGAGATAAAAAATGTACACATTTAAAACGTTGTTCTCTCAGCTGTTGGGCCATTCAGTTGTCAGTCTCGCCAAACGGCTGCACTTCCCTGGGTCCTCCGCTCATTACGCACTTGCATATTTTGCAACAGAACACCTGGTGTGAGAGGTTCTCTGCTCAATAACACCAAAGAAGCAGAAACAGCCGGCTGCTTCCACTTCAGCTGTGGAACAAACTACCGGAGTCCCCAAAAGAAAAACGCCGTTTGAAGTTACGAACAAAAGATGTTTGGATGTAGAAAACGGTGACCGGTGTTCAGGGCCATCTCGTTTTCTCTGGCATTGCGGGTGTTCGTTTCTGGTAGAAGCGTCTCAGGGAAGATACCCGAGGGGATGGGTGAGTGCTCCGAGACCGTGTTTGCATTGGAAACCTAGCTTGTTCTTTAGATTCGCTGTAGCAGCTTTAAAGGTGAAGTTCGCTGAGAAACGCACAAACGCTGTGCTTTTTGAAGTACAACTGGTCATTTTCAGTTGCATATGCATGAATAATGTGAAAGTAGCCTTCGCCCCCGTTTCCTGCATTAGCAACCAAAAGAAAACGGGAGAAAACGATCAGGTCGAAGTCACACCGTTCTACGTGACACTTTACAACCAGCATTCGTGGACTCGCTCTTCTTGGCGTAGATCGGAGAAGATTGTGGCTATTTTGTGGCGAGGAAAGAGCAGAGGACGCCTCGATTAGTAGAGGCTAACCATTAGCATTAGCAACTCCACAACATGGCAGAACTCCTTCAGGTTTGTGTTATTTGTGGAGAAAAAACAGTGACGTTGAATTTTTTTAACCAAGACGAGCAAAAGACAGCAGTGGAAGAGTCTCATTGCTGTTAGCCAATCAGAGGCGAGATGTTTGCATATCATGGAAACTAATGAATACTACATCCTGCTGGTTTCCGCCCCCACACCTGACAAACTTCTGCTCCCTGAAACAGGAGCGCCAGAGCTTTCTTCTACAGAAAACCATTCACCAGACATTCATAGGTGTTCGATACCACAGCAGACTTGCCGACAAAACGAGTGCAAGCCCACTTTAATATCACCGTTCTAGTTTATAAACAGTCAGTGTTCATTAATGCTCTTGGTCGATCTCTAACTGGTGATTTTAGAAGAGCCGATGATGCTTTTGGTTTCAGTAGAAAACAGATTCAGGCAGCCCTCCGCACGGCTCTGATGCACTAACTCCCATAAAGAACGGCACCTGCAAGAAAATGAGACACTATAATTCCTGTTAATCCCACTCATTTCACTCCTAATGCACTGTGAAGTCTTAAAAAAAGCAGGTGAAGCTGAGATTTTTTTTGATTCCCATTTAGCAGTTGCCCCCCCCCCCCCCCCCCCCGTTTGACTTTGCAGTCCTGTTCTTTGTTTCTGCTCCAGCAGCAGAAGTGTTATAACATCATTAGCATTATTAGCATAGCCTTATTGTGTTATTGCACACGTCTGCACTTGTTACAGAGACTCAGCCCTGGCTCCTGATCTGGGTGCTGAGGCTCATTTATGTTTGGCAGCTTTATAGAAAAGACATGAAGTTGAGGACATTTTCTCAGGAGGGATGTCTTCCCCCAGCTGTTAACCCTTACAACACAGAGTCGTGTTCCTGTAGACTTTCCAACTGGTGCAGACGTGTAAATGCTGGTTACTTCACGTGATGACGACCTGAATTTCATGCATTTGTTCAGAGTCCCATTGATGCAGTGACCGGTGGCGTGTCTTCAGTCAGAGACTTGGACCGACTCCTTCAGGACATGGACATTAACCGGCTCCGGGCCGTTGTTTTCAGAGATATTGTGAGTCTAGCGAAGACGTGCACCTAATGAACATGAAAAGGCTCGTGCCGCTGTAGATGCCGGTTCTTTAGTGGGGTGTGTTTGTTTCAGGAGGACAGTAAGCAGAGTCAGTTTCTGGCTCTGGCTGTGGTCTACTTCATCTCCGTCCTCATGGTGTCCAAGTATCGGGACATCCTGGGGCCTCACAGTGACAGAAAACCTCCTCATCGCTCTCAGTCTTCAAGGAGCACAGGTAAGCAACGGCTTCAAAGGAAACCAACTGAGCTGTACAGTATGATGTTAGTTCTGCCGTTGCCTCCAGGGGGTTTCAGGCTGCCTTTTACCCTGAACAAAACAACAACAAGCTACTTAAATGTTGTTCTACTGCTAGAACCTTTTATGACTAAAAAAAACACACCAAAGAGAAATTTGAGGGTATTCTAGGTTTTCTGCTGCTCTCCTCGGGTTGACTCGTCCCACGAGCCTCTGTGGGTCTCTGCTTTGACTTTATTACTCACATTTTTCATTATTACCTGTCTCTTCAGACAGCGGTGCCGTTTCAGGTGGAGCCGAGGTGGAGAACGGCTTCTCTTTGAGGCGCTATGACTCTGGCATTGGCGAGGACCACACATCCGCTGCAGCGAGCGAGGTGGATCTGTCCTCGTCTGGAGCGACTCACGGCCCAGACGCAGTCTCTGAAGCCCTGTCCGCGTTGTCCTCCGAGGTCAGACCCGCTGCGGCTGCTGACTCGAAGGGCAAAAATGTGAAAGACATTCTGCGTAGCCTTGTCAGCGCTCAGTCTGATGACATCACCGTGGACCCAAGTCTGCTCTCCCCAGCGTTCCTCGGGCCTGTGAGCGATGTCGTCAGAGACTCATCCCTTCAGTTTCGGTCTTTTGATAGGTGAGATCCGCGGCTCAAACACATCCAGTTCTTATTTTTTGCACTACACCTCGGTGGCTGTGGGGAAATCATTAAAACAATCTTTTTTATGGAGACCTGACGGTTTGTGAAAACCCATGTGGTTTAAAGTTGACAGTTTACGCCATTTATCCCAGCGTAGCTGCAGGGGACTTTTGAAAGTCAGACCTTGAAGGCGTCTCAGCTTCGTATCCTCAGAGGAGACCTTGGTGCATCTTGGAAAAACATTCTGTAAGTGAAACGCTTCTAAGCCAGGGAGTCTGAGTCTGACTCCTTTACTCTGAACTCCCATTGTTCTTCCTGCTGGCTGTCAGCGCAGCTCCTCATCCGCGGCAAAGTGCTTTACAAAGAACCGCCTTAAGAGAAACGGGAGTCTTATCTGTGATGAGAAGACGAAGATGTTTGCTTTCACACTACCACAGATCCCTACTGTAACAGCTCTGTTTCATCCTCCCACCTGTCTCACCTCGTCTGCCGTTTAAGAAACACATCGGCCCTGTTTTATGAAAATCCTGGGAAAAGAAGTGAAATTTGCATTAGCTGTGATGGTGCAGGGTGAACAGTCGGGAGCAAGGCTTCAAAGACCTCATCGCAGGCGAACCCAGGTGAGAGAGGATGGTTGTTGGTCTGGTTTGCATTGATTCACAGACAGTTGCACATGACAAGAGAGCAGATTCAAGGTGAAGAGGGGAGGAAAAAAGACGAGACGGGAGAGACGGGGTTTCAAGTCAGAGTTCTCATGTTGTGAAGAAAACATTTCTACATTTTTCTTTCTCTCCGCTCCCAAACACCGTCCGTCTGCTGGCCGCCGACTGTGGGAATTCCTCTGCATTTCTGTGATCGCGTGTCTTTATCTGAGGAATGCTTTGTCAGGTCTCAGGGTGCTCCTCATATCAGGGGGATTAGGCTGGCTCCTGTCCACTGAGCTCACTCGGTGGGAAGAGAGGACGGCGGGAGAGCTGGAGAACGTAGACTAACAGCTCGCCGCATGTCTGCGGGAGCCGCCTCATGCAGAGAGCAAGCATGTCCTCTGCTACGTTTTACAGGAGATGAAAGCTGCTTGCAGGGTGTCTGTCTCACCTGCAAATAATGATCACATCAGTTTCAAAGACGAGACGAGATGATGCGGATCCGCATGTTTTACGAAAGCATCAAAGGCAGGAGTTTAATAGGTGCACAACAAACCAAAGGCAGGGCCATGTAGGGACTTTTCTAAGAGAAATAGAAACAAAGCAATGCATCGTTCATGTTGCCTTTTTTCTTCCACAGCTGTAAGAAGTTTCGTGCAGCCGTTTCGCTTACGTGCTTTTCCTGTTGGGGGGGCTGTTAACTCTGGAGGAGCAATGGCTCTCCTATGAGCCCCTCCATGATATCAGGGCCCCTCGCCTCATAGCTGCCAATCAGGGCATAGGTGGGCGTGGCCAGCTCAGCTTGTTTTCTTTAAGTAGCAGAGCAGTTTGCTGCTCCTGTGCCCTACTGGTTGAAAGTGGAATTACAACTACCATTAACAACCCTGCAGCAGCCTGTTGTAGCTAACGCTACCAACGAGCTAACACTAACATGAGCTAAATTGTACTAAATAAGCCACAAATCAAAAAGACCCACACTACTGGACAAACATTAATACAAGTCCAGTAGCAACAAAGCCAGGTCCCATCAGTCCATGATTTCTTAGCCTTTTTCAGCTTCCTCAGACTAGTATAGGCCACACTGATTTACTCTGGCTTTATCTTTATGCTTCACCTCCAAAGACATTACTCTTACTTTTACTTCTGCCATGAGGGTTAGGGTACCATTGTACCCAACGGAAAAGCAAACTTCTTTTTCTGATTCTTGTGCTTTTTATTGACGATCAGCAAACTGATAAAACTGACCGCACAGAAAATAGCTAAGAGCCGTAATACAGGTATAAAAGCGCCCCCTAGAACACCTACCCACTTTACAAAACTGTTTAGTGCAGTGTCTGGCCAGCAGAGGGCTACAGAGTGGTGTCAGATAGGAAACTGGTCAAGTTTCTAACCCATCGATCACTGAGATCAACGTTAAAGCACTAGCTTAAAGTTTAAAAATTGTTAAGTGTTACTTTAAGGAGCCCTGAAACGGCTCATTCTGGAAGGTACTGAAACTGTCAGGAATTAAACTGCTGAATTGTTTTTGTGAGAGAGATTTAGTACAAAGAACATGTTTTGTGTTGACCATAGAACTTATAGAACCTTTAAAAATGTCCGTTGTCTTCATTCATAGATTAAGGACTTACTGTAAGACGCTAACTCGGTAATACGAGCTGCTCTGATAGTAACGACAGTAAATGCATGACTGACTCTTAACAAAAGTAATAATTAAAACACTTTTCCAACATTGCTTCATGATGTCAGCATTTAAAAGTCAACAAACCTTTCTGTGAAACGCAAATGGGTTCAATAAAAAAACTATCTACAGCCTATGACTTTTTATTTTAAAAGAGGAATAAAAAAGTATAGAACAGAGCAGACGTTTAGCCTTTATTCAGCCTTTTTGCTAAATATTAGTGATGAAATGAAGTTGTTAATTTCTTTTTATTCTCAGAGTTCCTCATTCTGTCCCATTCAGCGTGCATCATTCAGATCACCAGGCTGCCTCTCAGCACACACCTGATGACACGAGTAGATAATTCCATTAGTGTTTATTATGCAGATGTAATAACTATCACAGCTCAGCACTAAATACTGGGTCTCCCAGTGTCATCAGTCCAAGCCAAAGCTGACATTCTGCACCGACACCTCCTGTCAAAACATGGCAACTTTCAGCCTGTGCAGACGGCTGGATTTACGAGAGCAGTGCCTGAAGAACGCAGGGATCTCCCAGATAAAAACTGGGGGGTGGGTCACAGGGTGAAGTATCCTAGCTGATTTATTTACTAGTGGAGACCTGCTGTACTTCTCCCATGCATTTCTCAGCTATGCCCCTGTTATGACAGCCAGTCTGCAAATATTTGCTGACACTAACCAGAGCTAAACAGTGTCATTGTGCGTGTCTGATTTAGACGGGGTGGTTCAGCAGAGCGTGTGCGTGTTGGACGCGGGGGATGTACGGGGTGCCGTTGTTAGCATTCCTGATAAGACTCTGCCTGCATGTGTGAGCCGCCGAGGACGATTTGTGTTGTTGGTGAAGTGCTGTTAACGTAACGCTGATGGGAAGCATGGCACACCAAGGGGAAGTTTCTTTATCTAAAGTTAATAATAGAACAGGTAGGCTAATAAATGCAAATATTAAACATGTAAAATAATGAACGGGATGGTTAAATTCAGATGCCAGCTTTGGTTTTACGTGTTCAGGATGTAAAGTGAATTTATGTTGGAGTCAGTTATTAACATCCAACAAAACTAAACAGCAGCCCATCTCAGACTGTTGGACCAGCTTACTCACAGCTATTAAATGATGTTTGTGTCAACGCTCAGAGCCAAAACATTCAAACAGAAGTTTGGGTTTATTTTATTTTGTTTATTAAATTAAACATAATTATTTTTCTATAAAATGATATTCAAGCACAAAATTGTATTGAATACATTTGATTTATTTATTATTTACTAAATACAGAATGAATGAATTAGGATTTTCAAAGCGAGCCGACATGATGAGATGGAGATGTGCTGGTTCTGGTTTAGAGCCCACAGCGATTTCCAGTTCTTGCTGCTGACGCAGAGTTTGGATGATTTCAGCAGAAAATCCAAAAACAGCTATGTTAACCTATTTTAATCAGATGTTTACATTTTATGGGTGGTGTACATTTAGTGAGGGTGAGATGTTTTTGGTGAGGGGGTGCCTGACAATAATGCTTTCACAGGCTGATGTAAAAAATCATGTTTTTATTATATTGTTTTTGGGCTCTTTTATGAATTTTGAGCTGAATGATGTAATTGGTAAGACATGTATAACCACATGAACACTGGTGCACACATGCAGACACGTTTTCTCACTCCTCCGTGCCGTTGTCCTGCCTGAAATAGCAGAGATTACTGGAATTGCTGCGTCGACTACGCTTACCCGTCGTGGGTTGAGGGCTTTAAATAATTCAGTCTCAGCTCGGCACACACACTGGTAGCTGTGGGCTCCTGTTTTGTGGGCTGAGTGGGGCCGCTCTTGGCTGATTAATCGACTGGGGCGGCCCACTCATGATAAGTGTGGCTAATGACCTGCTGAATAATTCACGGGGCCTTTGCTGCGGAGCAGATGGAAGGCCAAACACACAAACTCGCTCAGGAGCGCACTCCCACACGCCCATGTGCATGTATTAAAGTATTTCTGTACACATTCTCACACACACACACGCACGCACGCACGCACGCACGCACACACACACACACACACACACACACACACACATGCACGCACGCACACCTAGCCTCCAGCACCAGGGGTCTACTGTCTCTCCTTCCCTCTTTGCTGCTGTTGGCACCCAGGATGCTTCGCGTCTGCGCCGCCCCGTTCTCCCTGATATCCAGATATTTCATTATCTAAACAGAAAGCTACAAGATAATTATACCTCTGCTTTTGAGTCAACACCGATCTCATCCAGTTTTATTTTTACATCTAAATGTGATTTGTGGCTTCATGCATCAGAATGGAGCCTCTTCCTTATTTACCTCCACATTTTCAGCAGCGTGCGTGATTACTTTCAGAAGATGCCATAAGCTGTCTTAAATCGGCCGAGCACAACCTTTGCTGCAGCCAGATACATTGTTCTGCACCACTGAGAAACCCATTCACATACACTATAGCGTGTCAGTATGCACACATGCAACAACTCTGGAAACAGGAATTTTAGCTTCTCCTGTTCTCTTTTTTGTTGAAGAAAATAAGAATTTGTGCGTTTCATGTGTTTGTGCATATGTCGGCGAGCCTGTGCTGGTCTGTGTTTCTGAGAGGTAGCAGCAGTCGGTGATTGGACCCTGCTTTCCTTGTGTCAGCACTGATAAGCAGGACCAGGCTCCCTTTGATATGGCCACTGGTCTGTCAGAGCCCTGGTTTAAAGTGACGGCTTATCTGCATGCTGCTCTCCTCCCAGCTTCTGTTGGCCTCAGCTCCACTCGCTCACAGCACATCACTGCTGTTGACTCTACAGCAAAGGACTAAAGGCTGCCAAGATAAACTACCTGTACAGGTGTAATCAGGCTGATTGTGATGTGCATTTCCTCCTTCTGAAGGTAAATAGAAGTCCTGTATATCATTGGACTACGACCTGTTGGTGCTGGTGTGCTATACATCTGTCAGTATCGATCTGGTGATCTCTAGTAAAACTAATGTTTTTGCAGAAGTTTAAAAGTTTAGAGTTCGTAGTTTCTGCGAGTCAGTAATTGCAAGAATTGTCACAGTTTTGGAAAACTACGATGTTATTGATTTAATAACACACTAATTTACTTATAGATCATTTTACACAAGAGGATCAAATAAAAACAAGAACACAGTTTAAGAAATACATAATAAAACAACAAAATAAAACAAGATGTTGACAATAAAACCAAAGGCCAACACTGTAACCTAGAAAACGATATAAAACCCAGTAACAGACAAGTATCACAGATGGTTAGTCTCAAGATGGGTTTAAAAGATGTTGAGTGATGAGGACATGTCTTAAGGACTTAGGAGGAAGTGGTCAGCAGACCGGAGTTCACGGGTGGCCCAATGTGGGCAGATCAGCTCTGACACGTAGGAAGGGGCATGGCCATCTAAAGATTTAAAAACAAAATGACCTTTAACCATGACTGACAACCAATGCAGAGAACTCCAAACAGACATGATGTGCTGTCACCTAATGGCACCAGTCAGAGGCTTTGTTGTTGCCAGTCAGACACGAATTAAAGTAGTCCAGTTGAGAGGTGATGGTAACTGGTCTGTATTTGATATATCTAGGTTTCTACCACCCCTACCACCACCACACTATCAGCATTATCCCACTACCACTGTGTCGGGGGACAGTAAATGATTTGTTTCATTTTCCTACAGAAGTGTTGTCGTTGCACCCAAGAAAGTTGGCAGTGTGCCCCCTCAAGGCCTGTCCACCTCTGTCCAGACGTCTGCTGCTGCCACAGTGTCTGCTGGGACAGCAGTGGACAGCGTTGCTGTGGTGTCCTCTGATGACTCCCCTCAGGCTGCATCTGTAGACTCTGAATCTGGTACACACACGCACACACACACGCACACACACGTATGCACACAAACACACGCACACACACACACACGCACGCACGGTTAATACAAAAATAGAACAATAGCAATAGAAGGGCTGTGTTTGAGTGAGGGCAGTGCCTAGATGAGTCTGCTTCTTCATGTTCGTGCTGGAATAATATTGTTTGAACTACGTCGTCCACTCACAACAAGGGAGCTTGGCCTGAAACGCCACAGTGACACCAATGAACTCATAACTGATGTGTTAGCTGAGAAAATCATCTAATTGGATCTGAATACATATCTGGATCAAAACTCGAGGCCTTTTCCTGAGCTGTATTGGTTTAAGTGAGAATCTACAGGCTTCACTGTGAAGATCGTACTGATGTAAACCGGTGGTACTCACTCCTGGTCCCGGAGAGCCGCTATCCAGCAGGTTTTCCTTGTTTCCTGACTCCCAACACACCTGATTCAGTGGTTGAACCACCTGTGCAGCAGGTCATGTTAATCTTCTGCTGATTGAAATCAGGTGTGAAGCAGGGTTAAAACCAAAACCTGCAGGATACCGGCCCTCCAGGAGCAGGAGCGAGCACCGCTGATGTGAACTCTGAAGAAAGAACTCGTAGTAAGTTTTACAATGAATGTGAAATATATGAGAAGTGTTGGAAATATAACAAATCAAGGCAAAGCAAAGATCTCAGCCGTTTTTGAGTTTCCAATCCAATCCAGTTTTATTTATAAAGCACTTTAAAAGACCCAGCACAGGAACAAAGTG